GCGGTGACAGCGCGTTCTCAAACATGAAGCGTATTCACCCACTCTAACACTGGGGTCGTGAGTTTGAATCCAACTCGATGCATGGAAGTCTGCGGTTATTCTGTGTTTGTGTTGTCCTGCGTAGGTAGTGGCCTTGCAACAGGGCTGATCCCCCGTCCAAGGAGTCCTACCGACTGGCTATATTATTCATATTTTGGAATTAATTAATTCTGAAAGGCCAGACGCCAGATAGCCTAGTTCGTCAAGGTAGAAGAAGAAGAAGTAGAAGAATATATTCTTGCAATAATTACTGTCTTCTGAGATGTGACACAAGCTTGTTTCCGAAACCTTACTACTTATCTGTCAAACGTTATCCCTATATCAGGTATGAAATTAATATTTCAGTTTTTTCATGTATGAAATATTTTTCCATTCTTTGTGACCTTATACATTTTGACAGAGTTCTTGATGTCAGTTTTAAGAGCTAATAATTAATGAAAACCTGCAATTAACCATTCTACTGAATCAAGCTTTTGATACTTACAGTTACTTTGTCCCTGCTCCGTCATTACTTCTTCCAAGTTCTTCTGTTACTAATGCAAGCTCCAACGTTCATATGACATTATCTGCAACCAAATTTGAATACAAACAACTTCATGAATAATCAGTATATTCAATGTAGGAAATTTACAGCTACAATTCATTAAGGTCTCGTGGTATTAGTTTCTCTTGCTGGTAGACAGTTCAGCTCATTTAAATACCACAAGTAACCATCGTCTCTCACGATAGAGTATTCTTATTGCTATGTTTTATTTCCCTGTAGAAGATATTATCGCAGTTTGTGGGCCTATAATAAAGATCCACTGTGTTTTCTTATGACAGCACCGCAGTTCAGGGACATGCCTACCAGGGGCGGCCAGGTTTTCATAGGCGGAGGGACTGACATGTTAAGTCACTTCTTGGAAAAAAATAACGACACTCATCACTGTTATGAGAGGAACTGTTATGCACCACACTCAGTACGGATACTAACGAGACACACCAGTTTCAATACGGATTCGCTTAGTTGGGGGTGGAGTCCAGCTGGGTCCACTCGGCACGGCAGCCACTGATTGGCCTATTGTAGCCTGTCCCGGGTGATTATGATGATGGAGAATTTAGTGGAATGAAGATTGGCAGGGGAAACCGAAGTACTCGGAGAAAACCCGCCCCAGCACCACTTTGTCCACCACAAATCCCACTTAACCAGACCCGGGATCGAACCCTGGACGTCGCGGTGGGAAGCCAGCGACTAACCACTTGAGCTATGGCGCGGCCTTTCAATAGGGATACTAACGAGGCATAACAATTTCGGCACTGATACTAACGAGACACGACAATTTCGATATGGATACTAACGAGGCAACAATTTAGGTAAGGATAGTAATGAGGCACGATAATTTCGGTACGGACACTAATGAGACATAACAATTTCGGTACGGACACTAACGAGACATAACAATTTCGGCACGGATATTAATGAGACACGATAATTTCATTATGGACACTAATGAGACACGATAATTTCGGTTGGGATACTAGAGAGAACTCGGAGAACGAGAACGAACGAGACACGGGACGATTTGCATAATGCTGTCCTCTGAGATGTGACGCAGATTGTTCACTGCCTGGCCTGCTCTTCCACTCTGAATACGGAGTCAGATTGGCCAACGCCAGGATTTCTTTTAGGTGCAGTCAGTTTTCCGGGGGAGGCAGGCAAGTTTCCACGAGGAAGTCAGAAAATTTCCTTAAATCTTATATTTCAGTTATGTTATACTGTGCTTACTAACTAAGAAATAAATTGTATTATTAATATCTGGTATATTTCCTTCTGTTTTTCAATTTTGATTCTTTTTCCGAAGTACCGGGGGAGACCTACTTTCGCCCTTTTCGGACGCAAATGGGAAGTAGTGCGTTCTTCCCAAACGTCTGCAAATTCTGCCATACTACGATGCGTCACATCTGAAGCACAGTATTTCTCATCATCACCTCCGTGAGAACATATTTCACGAGAAATGTCTCATTCGGAGAAAGAGTAACGAGATACACGAGGCTTATGAAGGAACATATCTTGGGCTAACTAACTGCACACCTCACGTTTAGTGTGCAATATATCAACAAAGAGCAATAAACATTGGAGCAAACTATTTTCACTCACGTTTTCACGAACACTTTCAGTGTCGGGAAGATAATTTTGCATTAGTTTTTGCTCTATATTCTTGGAACCAGAGACTTTGTTTCGGTTAAAAGGGAATTCCCATTAATCTAAATTCCATTTCAGATAGGCTTTCCTGAATCAGCGGTATACAAAAATAGCAGACGCCTTACACAAGGGACACTGTTGCACCAAATGGCACACATACATCCAAACAACATAAGCCAGAGATGTAGGAAGTATGGTTTATGGAGCTACCTTCTACCTTCGTATTTAACTGTAAATAATATAAAGTTATTGTCTTATTTTGTATTTCTATTCAGTATCTACCAGTTATTAATAATAATAGTAATAATTCAACTCTTTGTTTATTTACGTGCTGATCTCAACAGCCAGTGGCAAATTACAGAGTCAACACGAATACAAACAACAACAGCAATAAGACAGCATATGTACAAAAGAAAACTTTATCAGCTAATGATGTTTAAATTTCAACTCGAGTTCCTAAAAATGTCTGTATATTTACAAGCTCCATTAGCAACAGAAACACATCTAGCTGAAGGGTAGTTGCTGGAGAAGTAACTGAACATGGTAAAGTTATATTTCGAGTAGGAACACGAATGCCGACTCTTTCGAGGACAGAGGGTTAGCATATAGCGCCACTAAAGATATTTATTAAAAACAAAACATCCGAGTAACGACTCCTGATATGCAGTGTCAGAAAAATTATTTTTACGATAAATTGTCATAGTAATAGTCCACATCTGTTCCATGTCTATTGTGGCAAAAGGCTCGAATTATTTTGTATGCGCTCAAGTTTCTTTGGGCCAGTGTTAATAATGATATCATATTTTTCGTTGTCATCTTTTGATGTAATAAATTATGTACCTAATAGCATTATTAAACACCGTCGCATTGTCAGATATTTGTAAAATAAATTAACTTCAAACCGTTTTAGCAACATAAACTATTGCTAACAGACGTGTGGGCGCTTCTATTGTGTTTATGTCAGCTTTCGGCAGGATGAGGCTGTGTGAGGTGCAATAGTGTAGTGGGGAGACCATCTCTTAAGCTGTACTCGGGCCCCTGTAAAGTTTATGAGCGATTAAGTGTATATACTGTAGCTTATGTACATTTTAGTGTGATTGAAAAATTCTTCAAATATAGGGCAGGAAAAATTGCATCTAACGCAAAAATTAGCACGGCTATCAGGTTAGACTGTCGCATTTCCGACTTATAACAATGAATTCAAGTTCAATCTCGGCGTGATGATTGTGAGTCGATGTTTAACCCCGAAGATGGAGGCAGCATGTGCCTCCAAATCTTTAGCATTGTCGCGTGCTGCCTATGTAACGCGACAAATAACTTCAAGCAGGTCTTGGATTTGACGAATGTTTATTAGGCGCTTGCTTTTACACTTACACAATTCACAGTGTCCCAATTAAGTCAAAGTCAAAGTCACATTGCGACTGACGGTCAGTCAGTCAGTAAGTCTTGGTGTCGAGCCCCATTTGGGGCATATGACCAGACATTAATTATTATCGTTAGACAGTTACGGTCTTGCTTCTGTGGGGCTCCTTCTCTGACGAGAGGACGGGTCTGTCTTTTGTATATGTTGCTGGCTCTTGAGAGCGCAGTCTTTCTCGGGTCCGAGTCCCTTGGGACTCGCGACCATATTTTACTGTCTTAGAACTGAGACTTGAGAGAGAGAGAGAGACAGAGAGAGAAATAGAGAGAGACACACACACTTACGGATCATCTTCAGAGGGAACATCAATACTTATTCGGAAACCACCATCACAATAGGTGTTCTGATTGCTAAATTACATACACACATAATGCCTGGAATACACAATGTACACAATATTCAACTTTTCACAATCACAGCAGCCTTCGTTGTATTAAAACTTTTAAAGTGTTTAAAAAATTTACCTTACCTGGACTTAAATATATTTAATAGACACGGACAAATAGAAATGGAAATATACGTACAGAAAACCCATGACAGATATAACAATAAATAATAAATCATGTCACCCTAAAGAACAAAAATTGCCAGCATATAAATTTGGATACACAGACTTCTTAAACTACCCCTTGAGTAAAATGCTATAAACAAAGAATTAAATACTATTATTAATATAACACTAAATAATGGCCATAGAAAAGAAGACATCACACATCTATATAATAAACTTAAGCGAAGATGGGTAACCCGGATAATAAAGACGAAAAAGAATAAAATGGGTCACTTCTACTTATACCGGAAATTACATACGAAAGATCACAAAACTATTCAAAGACACTAACATAAAGATAGCATTCAAAACAGCCAACACAGTATGTAAACTAATAAATGAAAAACGAGAATTAAACCCCTTACGAACAAAGTGAGATATAGGAAATAACATGCCAAAGTTGCCAAAAAGTATACATCGGCCAAACTGGTAGAAATCTAACAAGATACAAAGAACACATAAAAAACATAAGAGGTGTTTCGCGGTCAGTTACCTATCAACGCCGTGTCCATCTACGTTACAGTATCATCCGATACTCCTTCGGCCGTCTGCTGTCTGTGCCTAATTGATCATTATAGCTTTCAGGACAGTACTATATTGGATTAGGTATATTCTAGTGAATGAAATCGAAACTACAGTAACTGCCCTTATGTTCAAACAATCTAAAGAAATCCAGCATCCCAAATAATATAGCATGACCGTGATTCTAACAACTATGACCTACCAAACTGACTTTACCATGCCCTGGGTTCATAACGCATGGATTTCGGCTGGTAGTGTTTATGATCGGTGATGACCACGTTTCAGTGGTTGGCGACGCTGACGGAGTTGCACTTGCGCAGAAGCTGTATAAACTTGTGGCCACGTTACGTTTTTGGGGAATGTGCTTTGACGTTTGATAGTAAACATCAGTATTAATTGAAAGTGATAATGGTATGTATTTTAAGTTTTCGGTGGTTCTTGTAAGCGATGTGACGCGGTATATATTAAAATGTTTTGGATCTGAGGTTCTCACGCCGGTGACTGCAAAGAGTACTGCCTTTCGTGTAGTAAGGCCTAATAGTTTGGAAAAAGCCTGATATTTCGGAAGAACATATCGCTTCCATGTTCAGGGTCTGAGATTGAGCCAGGTGAGAAACCAGCAGAAGCAGGTGGCAAGCTAAGAGTTTCTCCGACCACCTAAGTATGGAGGGGATGTGTACCTTCGAATCATCAGGCAGTCTCGGAACTCTGCGGCGGTACAGCCCAGAAGACTGTATTGTTTATATTGGGATATTTTTAAGAAGGACGATTTGTGCTCACTGTGTGTAGCATAATTTTATTTGATCCTGTTAGCATTTTCCATCGTTAATAGTCTTGACAGGTTAGTAGGGTTATTTAAGTTAGAATTGTTATGTTGAAGTTCATAACTGCAAATAAAATGAGAACTAGGGAAATGTTATAGTCAGAATATTGTCAAATTTTTATGTTTCTTCAGATTATGATATTTTGGCTTGTGACACTCTAGTCTTTTAGGCAGATACTGACTTTTTTTTAAGAAATTCCTCCAAAATGTGCAGACTTGTAGACATATATTGATGTTCCAGAGGAACTTGTTTGAAATTTTGGTATCTGCCTAGACGATCACATAGTGTTGCAGTCCATAAGACCACAATATGAATTATTACTGATGTTAGAATCTCAGAACTTATATCTTAATATTTATTACTTTTTTTAATACGTTAGATTTCTAGTTCAAAATTGAGATGCATGCAAATAAGTGGCCCTTACAGATGCAAATTGTTGTCACTTTTATGTTGATAGCCTCTGAGACTGGACATAAAACGTAAGCTGACAGCTAGGTCAGACCGTGTGAAATGTGTGGATTTGCATCCAACAGAACAGTGGATGCTAGCATCACTGTACAATGGAAATGTTCATGTCTGGAACCATGAAAGCCAACAGCTTGTAAAATCTTTTGAGGTATGTATACATATAACGTTGTCTACAGATGAGTTCAAAGCATGATGAAGAACAGGAACACGTGCTCAGTTCACCCCTTACATTATATGTATCATATAAATGTAAGAACTAAAGATCTAGGATAGGCAGCTGAAGGAAATGATTGTTTCTAAGAACAAAAATATTTTATTCTTGTTTGTTTCCTTATCTTCCTCTGAAACCTCGAAGATTAAGGCAATATATTCCTGAGAAATGTCTGTAAATTTTTACCAGGCTTGACAGAATCACATCTGAAAGATAATACTTATCTAGCATTTGCTGATGTTCACAGGTCTGTGATCTGCCAGTAAGGGCAGCGAAGTTTGTGCCCCGGAAGAACTGGATTGTGGCAGGTTCAGATGATATGCAAGTTCGTGTATTTAATTACAATACTTTGGAACGTGTTCATGCTTTTGAGGCTCATTCTGATTATGTCAGATGTATTGCTGTTCACCCAACTCAGCCCTACCTTCTGACCAGCAGTGGTAAGTCGTAATGCTAAAGGTCACATCTGCAAATATGTCCACTAAACAGTAAAACACTAGAGACATCTATTCAATAGGTACTGAGTTTGAGTCCTTACTGGCTGCCCTCATATTTTTTGTTGTTTTTGTCAGTTTTGACAGGTGAATGCCAGGTTAATACTTTGAAATGGAACATTAAGCACTCAGCCCCAAGTTTGAAAAATTTGCATGTTAATGCAAATTATAATCTGTATATTGATTATGTGGAGTATCTAATTTCTGCTGGACAGTCTTATACATAACATCCAGTTTCATGTATGTTTATGTAGAATATATTAACCTCCTGGAACATGCTGTGGTGTTATAGATTTTGCTGAGATGGGATGAAGTTACCATCAGTATCTGACAGAGGGTGTTAATCATAAAATGACTTAAACTGTTGTAATATAAAGGAGAGGAAGGAAGGAATTAGGAGGATGGGTAAATAAATGGAATGGGATAGGAATGTGGTAGAAAGGAGATGAGGGATAAAGGAAAGAGCAAGAGGGTATGAGAGATGTGGACATGAAATAAATTATTTTCCTAGAGAGAACAAACTTACACATTTGCTGAGAAAGTTGTAGCCAAATAACATGATATCCTGAGATTTTTCAGACATATTATTGTGGTCTCATCTTTATGTTGGTATTTAAAGTGTAATGTTATGATGAAACTGTACTTGATCTTCAAACAGTGACAAATCAAAGATACTTTCTATTAAGATTTCAACTGGTGTTATATTAGCTGAATGTATAATACTTTATAGAAAGGTACAGTTGTTCTTGTACTTAATTAATTAAGCACTATGCCTTGAAGACTTCTGGGGGAGTGGAGGTATAGCTCCACCATTCTTGACCATAAATGAAGGTGAGTGGTCAACTTCATGCCCCAGCTGCTTTACCTCCTGGAGAAAGAGGCCCAGTAGCCATTGGATAGGAGGCTGGGTGGGCTCCACAGCCAGTCTGGATGCTACTGAGAAGAGAAAAATATAGCCCATGTCATAAATTGAACCCTGGCCATCTGGCCTGTAACCTGTCTCTATACAGACTGATATATCCTGGCTTTTTATACATGTGAAACATATATACTTAGACTTATAGTTTCATATGACTGTAACAGCCAAAAAATGCTTGCTGTCATGGAAGTTTGTGCAGCTACTCCTAGGGTTAATAATAATTGTGTGAAAGAATCCATTGCAGTGATGTTGCTGTTCTTAATTGACAGATGACATGCTGATCAAGTTATGGAACTGGGACAAGCAGTGGTCGTGTCAGCAAGTGTTTGAAGGCCACACTCACTATGTAATGCAAATTGTTATAAACCCAAAGGACAACAACACTTTTGCCAGCGCATCGCTTGATCGCACTGTTAAGGTAATCCAGTAATCATACATCTTTTGACACTAAGGGAGGAACAAAGACTGAGAATGCTTGAGAACAGGGTGCTGAGGAGAATATTTGGACCAAAGAGAGATGAAGTGACAGGAAGTTGAAGAAAACTGCATAATGAGGAGCTTCATAACTTGTACTCTTCTCCAAGCATAATTAGAATGATCAAGCCAAGGAGTATAAGATGGGCAGGGCATGTAGCACGAATGGGGGCAGGGAGGAATGAATATAGGATATTGGTGGAAAAGCCAGAAGGAAGAAGACCACTGGGACAATATTAAAATGAATCTTAGAGAGATAGAATGGGATGGATTGGATTTATCTGGCTCAGGATAGGGACCAGTGGAGGGCTCTTGTGAACACTGTAATGAACCTTCAGGTTCCTTAAAATACTGGGAAATTCTCGAGTGGCTGCACAATTGATAGCTTCTCAAGAAGAGCTCAGCACCATAAGTAAATAAGTAAGTACATATTTTGACTGGTGGGCTTTGAAATTTGGGATTCTTGGACTAGATCTCCAGAAATACATATTAAAAATATTGGCCATCAACACGTTTCTTTTTGCTCATTGTCTCACGTTATACTATACAGATGTTTGCATAGGAGGTATCTGGAGAATTAAGTAAAACGGATTTGAAGTGGTTAGAAGGATCAGTACTTTCGACCCAAAATATTGTGACATGATGGCTGAAAGCTGGAATAGTAGAACAAAGGGATGCAGCCATTGCTAGGCAGCAGTGTGGTAAACACATTTCCCTGGCAACAAATAAACATGTAACGATAGAGGATGCAGTGTCTTGTATGCAGTCTGTGCCAAGTTTATCTAATGAAGACCAACTAGACAAGCAAGTCTGTCAACAGTCAGAATTCAGAGTTGGCGGTTAGCAGACTTTGCGTTGATAGCAGCCGCTACATAGCAACGACTAGTTAACAAACAGAGGACTTTATGTGTGCTTTAGTGGTAGTGACCTATGTAAATTAGTGAGATTGTAGTTAGGAGTTATAAAACTGTGTGGCCTTTAGTCCACAAGCAAACCTTACTGACCAAGTGACTGCCACTTGTCAGTGAAGTTAGTGCAAACTTTAGCAGATAGAGGGCATCGCGTGGTCAGTAAAACGGATTCCCACAACTGTTAATCTCGGTTTTCTAGACCAGAGCTGCTACTTTTCCATTCAAGTAACTCCTCAGTTATCCTCATGAGGCTGAGTGGACCCCGTTCCAGCCCCACTACTTCTCAGAAAATCTGATAGAGCCAGGAACTCTGACCACTATACCACAGAGGCAGTCAGTTAGGAGTTACAAGCATTCAGTAAATCCAGTTATAAATCCAAGCCCTGTGTCTGGTCACTACTAAAATGTGGCAGTATAAAAATCAGGTACAACTGTAGTTTTACTACAGTAGACAAAAGATACTGGAATACGAGTATGTAATGTTGCAGGTGTGGCAGTTGGGCTCATCAACACCTAATTTCACTCTGGAAGGCCATGAGAAGGGTGTGAATTGTGTTGATTATTACCATGGTGGCGATAAGCCGTATTTGATTTCTGGAGCAGATGATCGTCTTGTTAAGATCTGGGATTATCAAAACAAAACTTGCGTTCAGACATTGGAAGGACATGCACAGAATATTTCTGCAGGTTAGAATTTTTTATTTTGTTGACAAACAGTGTGTTAAGTTACAATGAAAAAATAAATTGTTACCCTTCTTGTGGGGTATTTTTTTTATTGCTAGTGGGGTGGGACTAAGTCCCTTGTGCTGCGGCCACTTCTGATGTATTGTACCAGCCCCAGATGATAGGTGAGGATGATTGTGGAGCAACTGGTGGAATGAAGATTGTCAGGGGAAACCGAATAACTCGGAGAAAACCTGCCCCAGCGCAACTTTGTCCACCACAAATCCCACTTAACCAGACCCGGGATCGAAACCGGACCACCACAGTGGGAAGCCAGCAGCTAATCGCCTGAGCTATGGCATGGCCCTTCTTGTGTGCTAGAACACTTTTTAAAAGAACATTAGTGGTTTGTGCTACTGTTTCAAAATTTTTAAGGGTTCCTATATTCAGTTTTTGGCCCAAAGGTAAGCTGTTCTGAGTAAGGTTTTTTTTTTTTTTCATGGCTTTCTTCCATCCCTTTAGATGAAGACTGGACCACAGATGTTTTCTTCCATGTTCTCAGTCATCCTACCATTTGACCCCATATAAACTTTGATGTTGGAAAAAGTTGATAAATATTGCATGATTTGATCAGTCAGTTCTCTAATGTGTTAAACTCTTTCCATAATTCATAGCTCATGTTCCATTTAAGGTTTGTGTTGTTTGAAGTTATTTATATTTAAGCAAGACTGCTGTCCTCACTGAACTGGACTTTCCGCAGTTGTCAGCATACACTGTTTTGTTATTTTCAGTTTGCTTTCACCCAGAACTTCCAATTGTACTCACTGGCTCCGAGGATGGCACAGTTCGTATCTGGCACGCTGGCACCTACAGATTGGAATCATCCCTTAACTATGGGCTCGAACGAGTGTGGACTATTGCTTGCATGAGGGGTTCCAACAGTGTGGCACTGGGGTTGGTATACGTATTTTAGAATATAAAGTGGTTAAACATTGATTTAAAATGAAGTAAAAGGATATTGATTTTAGATACTATTGATTTACTATTCTGTGTAGCTTCAAGTATTTTTCTGAGCACTTTGTTATGAAAAGGAGTGCATCCTTCATATAATGAGACTTTATAACATAAAAAAATCTCATTATAATGAGCATTCAGAATATGTGAAAATGGTTGAAATGCATAATATTCTAGCACAACTTCTAATTACACATAATACTATATGGCAGCAGCATTTAAAAATATAATGCAGTTGGAGCAATATTTATCCTTATTGTTGCATTCATAATTAAAAGATTCAAAACTATGCATATTAGCTGAAGTGTTTGTTTATTGATCTGTTTGTATGCATGTAACAGTTCAAGAACCACAGAATAGATTTTCATGAAATTCAGTATTGTGGAGTGTTACTAAAATTTATGAACACATCTCAGTTTTCATTAAAATCTGTTGATAACAACAAACAGAACAGAATTGTTCGGTCAGTTGCATCACAGTGGACTCCTCCAGAAAGACAATGTTCTCTGCAATTGGTAGTGATGGCTCTGGATTGGCTGGGCTGGTCTGGTCTGTTTCCCAGGTATGATGAAGGAAGTATCATGGTCAAAGTTGGACGAGAGGAACCTGCTGTTTCGATGGATGCAAGTGGAGGGAAGATAATTTGGGCCCGCCACTCCGAAGTGCAACAGGCCAACCTTAAAGCAATGGGGGAAGGTGCCGAGATCAAGGATGGGGAGAGACTGCCTCTCGCAGTCAAGGATATGGGAAGCTGCGATATATACCCACAGACCATTGCCCACAACCCAAATGGAAGGTTAGTTTCACCTCATTTGGCTAACATTTTAACACACCGAGAACCAGAGCAAGAGTTGCACCATTCCGCAGTTTGAATCTGAGTTGCTGAGTTTTTCATGGTTTTCCTCATTCTGGCCAGACAGATGCCAGCCTTGTATCACAGTTAGACAAAAACTTTCTGCAAAATCTCTCCCAGTTCATCATCCATCAGTCATTCCGCTCTTTGATGCTGTGTAGTCCAGGTACTGTCAGCACTGTAAGATATACCACAAAAGGAAAAGTACGTACATATTAATGTGTGACAAAGGTAACTTTAATACTTTGCCACCATGTTGTATGCCACATTAGGACTGCCAACTGTAGAAGTTTGTTTATAAAAATGATATCCAAAAACCTTGGAAAGTGTATACATATTTCCTTTTAAAAACAAAACCAAATGCCTAACTGTTTCAAAATAGAACCAGAAGCCTAAACTTTTCAAAATGAAACCAGGAGCCCAACATTTTTAAAACAGAAATCAAAGAAGAACCTTGTGGACTTCTTGTTTGTACTGGGGCTAGGCTTTGGGTCTTGTTCTTACAAATGAATTTCAGTGGCTGGCAGCAGTAACTTGGCCATTACTTTTAGAGTTATTTTGGCCAGATGCTAAAGTGTAAATATCAAAAAAGAAAATTGTTTGCAGTCTGGTTCTGTATCCCCTTCTTCATGACCTGACCTCATACAGATACTATGGCCTTTTGGTAGTGCTATTATTTCCAGTCTAGATGACCTGTGAGAGTTGAAATACCAAAACTAAATTTGAGCCAAACCAATATGGATGACAAAATAACAATATGTATATGTGAGGGAACTTAACCTTTTATTCTGGAATTACATGGTAGCGTAGTTGGTTGAGACACTGTGCTACAAACCGGAAGGACATGGGATCGAATGCCAATGAGGTGAATTTTTATCAATTTACCTAATCCTTCCAGCCACTAACAGAAATGAGTACCAGGAATATTTCTGGGGGTAAAGGGTGGCCGGCACATACAGCTGACAACCTTACTGCCATCTATGAGCCGATTGTCTAGAAAATGTGGGAATTTGATTTGTTTCATTCTGGTCCGTCACACTGCATGGTTTACGAATTTTAATTACTGACAATCCAAAAAAAAAAAATTTTAATTAGCATCAAGAAATTTTATACAATTTTATAAAAACTTTAGATTCCCAGGAAACTGCTGTGTTTGTGAAATGTTCTGTTTTGTGTACTGTGTATTGTAGCATATAAGTGTACGTATTTTACGTCTAAACAAATTATGTGATGGTGGTTTCCTATTTGTAGTGATGTTTGCCCTCTGAAGATGGTCCACAGAGACTGAAACGTGTAAGGGTGTTGAGTTTTCATGTAGTAAAAATCTTACAGGTCACATTGGACGGAGTGATTTATATTTGTAAATGTGGGAACCTCAACATCTCACAACCCTGTGGGCCTCCACGGCCAGTTACAGGATTACCTTTACATTTTTCTTTTTACTTATTATTAGTGCCCAGCCATACACCCTATACTGATTTGTTTTTACATTTTTCCTTAGACGTAGAAGTCAAGTGGAAATTGAATTAATTCATATGAACTCTTACCTTATATTATGCAGAAGGTTAAGGACTAATTGTGGTTACCATTTCTGCCGTCCCTGTGATGGCCGAGGTAAGGTTGATATAGTGTAGAGTGTCCCACTACTAAGCGCTGCAGTTTCATAATCCACAGTGGCATACAGGGACAGCAAGAAGGTCTGAATTGAAGATCACGTTCTCCATGATCAAAGTGTTTACCCATTCAGAAAGTTAGTTTTCAAGCTATCTGTTCCAAAATTTTTGCATCTGTAAAGGTAACAAGTCTAGCAAGGAGGCCGAATTTCAGGTGCTTGTAACATGAGCTCATTAGTGAAAGGGTTAATAAAGGATCATGTACAGATATTAAGCAGATGGTGAGAAGAGAATAGTCATCAGAATTCTAACCAAGCGCTAGTCCTGTATGTCATCATACACAATTTCCTCACACTTGTCTTGTTGGAACATATTTCTATTTTTCTGTTAATTTTGTTGTAAATATTTGTCTTTAGGTTTGTTGTTGTGTGTGGTGACGGAGAATACATAATTTATACTGCCATGGTCCTGCGGAACAAAGCCTATGGATCAGCACAGGAATTTGTGTGGGCTCAAGATTCATCTGAATACGCTACCCGTGAGGGTAATTCCACTGTCAAAGTATTCAAGAACTTCAAGGAGAAGAAGGCCTTTAAACCAGAATTTGGAGCTGAAGGTAGTTTCTTTATTGTTTTTCTTCAGTAACACTTTCTGAGCTGCATATGTAGTTAGGTGAGAGACTGACTGTGACTGTTCACAGTCAGATGGGGAGAACCCCATCATATTCAAGAGATCAAGGATCAGATCTCAGTCTGTAGACCTTCCCTAACTGAAGTTCTGTATGGTTTTCCTCAGTCCCTCAAGGGAAATGGTGTGATAGTATCCAGATTAGACTATTGCCGCCTCTTAACATATTTGAGCTATTAATAACATTGTTAAATAAACTATAACTAAATGAAATTATGAATGATGAATTGGTAAAAAAATATGTATTATATTCTGCAAATACTATGTTATATTAAGTAGTTCCAGGTGAAATATGCAAGTAGTTGATGGGATATGTTCCCTGCCTAATTATGCATGTTTTATGCACTTTATGCAAAGAATGCCTTTTAAATATTGATGGATTTGTTACAGGAATATTTGGTGGATTCTTGTTGGGTGTGCGCTCAGGGACAGGACTAGCATTCTATGATTGGGAAACACTGGAGTTGGTGCGTCGCATTGACATCCAGCCTCGGCATGTGTTCTGGTCAGAAAGTGGAGAACTTGTATGTCTTGCTACAGAAGAGAGCTACTTTATACTGAGGTACGATTCCAGTGTTGTGGCACGGGCCCAGGAGACCAAGGAGGGACTGACAGAGGATGGCATTGAGGAGGCATTTAACGTGAGTTTGTTACTGTTTGATATGGAACCTAGTATTGTGTACTGTAACAAATTATTTAGCAAACTGAGAATCAGATACTGTATGTATTTCATCATGTAATTCATGCACCCTCATCTCCTGTTTTGAAATTAAGCAAAATATAAATTCCCATGTCTTTCACACATTTCATTATTACATGTAAAACATGGTGACAAATCTTTTGTGAGCTAAGCCTTAAAGGGGGGGGAGATATAAAACTTGAAACAAGCCAGATGACAGTGTAGTTGACATAGTATGCAAAATTCTTTTGATCAGAATTTCAAATTTTGCTGTTCCCTCACTAATATGTACAGTAAAAGAGCCACTCTTGCTGTCTTTAAGATAATTCACAGGAGCAAAAATAAGAGCCGTGTAAATGCATGGTGGACTGTGAAATATATTGTATACAACACAGGCTGGAAGGATCTTGTGGAATGTATTAGAAACATCATCTAAGAGGACAACTCAAGCATAGCCTATATTGCAGTACAGGAGGGTTAGAATTATATATGGATTTGAAGAAATACAGACCTGGTGATATGAGAGATTTGAGGTTCTCATGACAATGACTATGAAGATTGCTGTTTTCTGGGATCTGACACCATGCAGTTCAGTAGATATATACCAGTATTTTGAAGGAATCTGCTGCTCCCATTTGGAGGGTAGAAGAGTAAGCCACATACATGGAGAGGAACATGGCTGTGAGCAGGCTAGGCAGAGGCTGGTTACCTACACAGGCTGAGACCAAATATTTGAGAGGGAAAGATGTGAGGTAGAATGTTTTGAGGAGAGAAGGGGGAATTCACATCCCAGAAGACAGTATTCTTGATCTTCCATGTTGTTCAGTACTGTGCTATGTAGGAGTACTGTGGTATAGTCAACTCATTGAATGTGCTCTTCCAAATATCCTAGGTTAGTAATCCTAGTGTTAAATTTCTCTGTTTAAAATTTTCTTCAGTTTATTGTTCAAATCCACTGTTCCCCAAGGAAACCTTAATGGGGATTTCACTGTACAATTTTGTGTTAGTCTTTATCGGGACCAATAACCTCCAGAGCGCGAGTAAGAAGAATGCCGCTGAATCTAACAGCAATGAGCAATGGAACTGAGTCTTATGACATGCAACACCTCCGTAAGCTGTGCCCTGGGATTCCAGTCTCCACTGCACACTTAGTCAGAAGTTGGGGAGATGGACCCGATGTCTTCTATTGTAATGAAGAGAAATATCTCAGAATTGGAAACCAATTGTCACTTTACAGATAGACATATTAACTCTAATTTTGCAAATCTGTACAGGTCCTTGGTGAGACACATGAGTCCGTTCGAACTGGCTTGTGGGTTGGTGACTGCTTTATTTACACAAATGGTGTGAATCGTATCAACTATTATGTTGGAGGAGAGATAGTTACTGTGTCACATCTCGACCGCACAATGTACCTGCTAGGATATGTGCCACGTGACAACAGGTAACAGCCATATGTATCGTAAGATTTCATGAACACTTAATTCCAGTAATACAAAAATTATTGGTGTGGTGTTTTAAGATGTAGATACATTATTAGGTTCAATACGGAATACGAAATAGTGTTTCAGTCAGTTTGGGTCTGCATTAAGTGAACACCATGGGTAATGAGTAATACGGAAATGCAAGAATCACACTTGGAAAATATGTACTTCAAATTTCAGAGCGCTTTCCACTCTTAGTATTCCCGAGATTTGAACTGAGACTTGATGCATGCAGTTGGGCCAACCTATACACAACATTCATTACATATGCCATATTGGTGTGCAATTGCTCTGATGGGTAACTCATTTTGTTTCTTTTTCTGTGCAGGCTGTACTTGGGAGACAAAGAACTCAATGTTGTGTCCTACTCGCTTCTTCTCTCTGTGTTAGAATATCAAACAGCAGTTATGCGAGGTGACTTCGAAACTGCTGATAGAGTGTTGCCAACTATTCCACGAAATCAACGAACAAGGGTAGCACACTTCTTAGAAAAGCAGGCAAGTTTAATCTTTTTATAACTAGATACATCCAAATTTACAGTGCTGTTGCATCCCTGGAAAATAGCATGTTACACAAAAGTGCTTGCTAGTGTTTAATGTTACCAATCCAAGAGACAGAATGGTCTGAGGCTTAGGCTGTGTGACCTCTGTTAGTTTTTCTAGGTCATATAATAATGTTAGGGTAGTGAAATCATGACAGTTGTGATGAGCCACATGTGTAGCTCTTGTACAAGCAACAAGAAATAAATAACGACCTTTGGAGAAAATACTTCTTGGAAATGGGCTGCTTGGTAGGCTGAGAAGGAAAATATGGATAACATTAAATCAAACAATTTGACTTATATGGTAATGCTTCTGGCTTGCATTCACAAGGCCACCAGTTTAAACCTTGAATGGCTGATGGTTTTCCTCAGTCCTAGGCAAATGCCAGGATAGTACCTTAAATCCAACCACAGCTGCTTCAGTCTGACCCTTTTAGAGTTTGTCATTCACTAATCACACTACCATTTGTTGCTACATAGTCTGAAGTACTGACAGCATTGTTGAATAAACCGTCAGTAATTAAATAAGTAAATATGATAACAATGTGAGGATGGGAAGTTCGTGAACTGACTGAATGTCATGATAAATGCTGGCAGGTTTTGAGACCAGTGGTGTCAAAGCTTCTGTTTCTGATACAGGAGAGTAGTGAGTTGCGTCTGAGCTGAATAGTTCGTGGCAGTGGGACATGATGGCACTGGCTTATGATTGTATAGAGGCAAGCTTTGGATTCATCAATGTTGATCCTTTTGGTTCTATAGTGAAATAATTCCCATGTGTTCTGCAGGGTTTTAAGAAGCAGGCCCTGGCAGTGTCTACTGATCCCGAACATAAGTTTGAGCTTGCACTTCAGTTAGGAGAACTGCAAACAGCCCATTCACTTGCACTCGAGGCAGCCTCTCAGCAAAAGTGGCGTCAGCTGGCAGAATTGGCCACAACACGAGGAGAACTTGATCTTGCACAGGAATGTCTTCATCATGCACAAGACTATGGTGGACTTCTCCTGCTTGCTACATCATCAGGTAAAAACAAAGTACATTCAAGTCAGTACTTAACACATGAGTGCTAGATGCTGTTGGGCATTTCCCCCCACATGTCAGTATCACCAATAAGATAAAAATATATTGTACTAAGGGCTCTGCTTCATGTGCTCCCAATTTTATCATGACATCTGATGTTGAAACAATACAAAATATACATTTCAAGAAGCTCTTCTAAGTAAGTAGTTTTCATGAAGATGATGATAGACTATTTTTGTCAGGGTCATCTACGTGTAGAAGTACTGCTGCCTGCAACCAACATGTTTGCACTCATGTCATGCAGCACCATTATAATTTTGTTGTGCAGAGAGAGACACTGGGGTGGGCCCCACTTAACCTCTTGAGACCCAGTTTTGGGTATAAATGAAAGCAATTTTTACTTGCACTTCTGGTGATACCTGGACTTATATTTGTTAATTTTTCTATGCCACAAATGTGAGAATAAAAAAGGTTCATAATATTTTAATATCAATGGGAGCCTGATTGAATTGTTTCAAGCACATCTTACAATATGTGAGTTGAATTTTGCCTACCCAAGATCTAGGTCCAAACACAGTTTGCAAGATACCTCTGGCAGAGTCCACCAGAAGTTGCAGTTAAGATTCTAATTGTAAGTTCAAGTAGGTTGAAAGTGTGAAAGTTGTGTTTTAGTGCCATTTCCATCATTTTGTGTTTTTTATTTAAGTTTGTAACTTCACATACTTTTTTTGGGTGTTTCATTTGTGAAGGTGATGCTGAAATGGTTAAGAAATTAGGAGAAACAGCAGACTCAACAGGAAAGAACAACGTGGCCTTTTTGTCTTATTTCCTGCTGGGTGATGTTCACAGATGTCTGGAGATACTCATTAACACTGACAGGCTTCCAGAGGCCGCATTTTTTGCTAGGTAAAAGATGCCTGATTCTGTTGTCACTAGTTTAAATTTCTGCATTTGGCTTTGGCTTGCATGGTTAGAATTTTGGCTGTGTTATGAGATGTGCCATGGTTTCCCTCCATGTCTCTTGAAATGAATTACAACTGCCACATTTTTTATCCTTGCCCTCTCACAATTTATGAACTTCCTAACTAATTTGACTCCATATAACCTCTGCAGTTGAATGATCATTATTAAATAACATAATCAGAACCACCTTGGTTAAGTCCAGAAGTGACAGGCAGTTTAGTAGCACATGCAAGAAATGTAATATTATGTGTAACCATAAGTCTTTTTATTGGTTAAGCATTTATCATCATCTCTTTGTATACTGACAGATCATATATCCCAAGTCGCATCTCGGAAGTTGTAGCATTGTGGCGAGAGAGTCTTTCACGGCTAAATGAGAAGGCGGGTCAGTCACTTGCTGACCCAAAGGATTATGAGAATCTATTTCCAGGATATGCAGAAGCATTGAAAACAGAACAGTTCTTGAAATCAGAGCGTCAGCAATTATTACCAGCATCTGAATACCCAAATATTCCAGTAAGTATAGTAAAAAAGGGGGAAATGTTCACTGTACAGTTTTATGGTAAGTCATAAGTTCTTACCAGAATTGGCAGTATACGAGTACATTTTGGAGGTTGATGGAAAGCAGTTTTTTCTCAGAAAATGAAATGTAAAATGCTTGAATGATAAAAAGGGACCAGTTGCAATTATAAGATTAATAAATAGCTTGTCAGAACTCCAGAAATATGTTCACCCACTCACCACTGGCAAGCTGACGGAGACAGATGACAAGTATAAAAAATATTTATATGATACATACTGCCAGACTATGAAAGAATTGATTTTATTAATAGATTTAAGACATTTCTGGAGTCTTGCTGCTGATTGATCGAAATGTTTCTGTTTTGAAACACTTCCCTTCCAAGGAATCCTCCGTAATATTGCTTAACAGTTCCATCATGTAAATTAATATATTAGTCCATCTCCTTGGTGCTTGGCATGCTTCACGTTTTCCTCTAAGACCAGTAGCTTTCTGATGGGGCAACAACTGTGCAGGAATGTACGATGAGGACTGATCATATTTCAGCCAAACTTTGAAAGAAATGCAATTGAGGAAATGCGTGCTGCTGAGGCTGCTGGAAAGTTCCACTACATTCCCCCAGGAGTTGGTGTAGAAGATGAAGTTGGTGCTGCCATTATACGTGAGTGCTTCTTGCAGCCATTGCCAGGTTCTGACATATTATTGAAAGGAGTATCATGATTTATAACATTAACTGTGTAATAAGCCTCCTGAGATATATACTCATGCGTGCACACACAATTACTCAGTGTGATTCAGGAGTCTTCCAATCTATGTGAGGAAATTAATCCAATGATTTTATGTAAAAAAAAAAGAAAGCTCCATTCAGATGCAGCCAGGTCAAAAGGTTTAAGGATCCATGGCAGTTTGAAAGTAAGAAATACTATAAATAAGTGTTTTGACTGAAAATTGTTCACAATAACTTCAATATAAAACTAAAACAAGTGTTATGTAGTGATGAGATGTGGTAAAAAGAACTGTTTAAAATGTCCACTTGGGACTTGAATGCACATTTGAACATTGTGTTTTATTGACAGTTGGCTACACTGCATGGATGTATATTGAAGTCACAGGTAGACAGTTTGATCATCTTTCATTGTTATGTAACACTTATTTAAAGTATTGTGAAATTTTATATTAATTTCTTTTATTTGTGGTTTTTAATTATATTGTCTGTAACTCTTACTATATTCAGCATCCAATAGGAGGATGATTTGTGAATAATGATTTGGAAAGTATGTGGATGAAGCAGTAATGGCCAAATTTTAGGGACTATCCCATCACATGCATGGAGGGTGTGAGGATATGTATGAGAAACTTCAGGGAGGATATCCAGTTTTGAAATCAAGAACCTCCCAAATACAAAGCAGGTGTTCTGTCCAGTCAATTGAAGTGTTTGATGTTTACTTGTTGTGGATAAGTAGATGATCAGTGAAGAAAGCAGTCTTCTGGGATTTGGCACCATGTATATGTGGTGTTAACCGACGTTTCGGAGGAACGTATCACCTCCATCTTCAGGGTAGAAGAAAAAATATAAGAAATCTGCAAGCGAAGAGACCGTGAGAACCGGTAAAAGCAGACCACATATACACGGTGCCAAATCCCAGAAGACTGCTTTCTTCATAGTCACTGCCGTGAAAGCCTCAAATCTTACATAGATGATCAGTGTTTGTGTTTTTTGTGTCAATTACTGTTACTTTTCTCTCCAGCAGTAGGTAAAAAGGACACTGACACTGTACCTGTTGTGCCACTGTCAGAGAATATTCCAGCAAAGACCAAGACACAAAGTGAGTGCCTAGAAGATGAACTGGATTTAGACCTGGAGTTGGACATTGGGAGTGTGGTGAGCATTAGTACCATAAATGTAATGGTGTGTCTGGTGACAAATTCTCAAGTGTTAAGTTTCTTAATATTTCCTCATTTTGAGTTTAATTTGTTTGTAAAGGAAGAAAACAGGTTATTTGAAAATTATTTTTATTGCATCCTGTAATGATATTATGTATACTAAACATCCACCAAAGGGAGACAAAATTGTGTGCTTTTTATTAGAGAAATTTTGGTTCATGATGGTTGGGTCCTTTGTCTTCCATTTTTAAAATGCAGTAAAATATCAGTAAAATTAAATAAATGTCTGACACACTTACTTTGCATAAAGAATTATGTTATATTGTGAAATGAAGAGAAAGTGCATGGTCTTTTGGGTTGTGACATCATGTAATTTCATGGGTGGCTACCAGCATTTCAGAGGAACCTGCAGCCTTCATCTTCAGAATGGAAAATGGAGGAAGCTCTTTCAGATCTAATCACATATGAAACCACACAATGTTATAACCGAGAAGACACTGACTGATTTAACTTTCATGTCTGTCAAGATTTGGCATCGTGCAGCTAACAGCTGATTATCATGCTTCTAAAGCAAAATAGATCATTGTAGGTTGCTGTGGAAGGGGCGAGAAGGCCCACCCCTTGTACATTCATTCATTCATCATGTTTCTTATCACATAGTTATGAGGGTTGGAACTTCAATAGTGGCAACACTGCTGTAGAGACGCCATGCAATGGAACCAAATAATGTCACTTATACCACATGTTAGTCACATACCTACCTTACCTCAGAGCATATGGACTCTCCCTTCCCACATCACGCACATGCGCAGTGATGAGAAGAACAGAGCCTCGTGTTAACTGGCGGTCTAATGTAGTGTTGACACGATGTTTTCGAAACAGGAACAACTGAGTTGGATAAAGATTGAATGTGCCCGAAGCAGTACAGCACGACAGTGTCATCAAGGTCTTCAGTAGGCTTGTGTAAAATCTGCATTGCCTTACAGAACAGTGGCAAGGTGCATAAAGGCCTTCAACGAAGGACACCAAAATGCGGCAGACATGCGTTGGCCAGGTCGTCCTAGTGTCAGTGAAGAAGAAGTGTATGCTCTTTCCGTGTTACTGGAGAGTGATCAACGTCATACGATTCATGAGCTGGCCCAAGAGAGAGGATTAGTGCATACAACTGTGCTTCACATTCTGAAGGAACGCCTGGTCATGAGAAAAATTGCATCACGATGGGTTCCACATGATTTGATGGAAATGCAGAAATGGCTACGATACGACGCTGCTCGTAACCACTTGGAATGCTATGAGCATGAAGGAGAGGCTTTCTTATGCCGTATCATTACCCTGGATGAGACATGGGCCAAATCATACGAGCCACAAATGAAACGCCAATCGAACGAATGGTGTCATTATGGGTCACCATGAAAATCAAAAGTTCATCAGAACCCCAGCCATGTGAAAGTTATGGTGATTCTCATGTACGACTGTGATGGTGTTATCCTAACGCATACTGTTCCCAGACAGCAGACCGTCAGTGCACAGTATTACTGTTCATTTTTGGAACACAACCTGCGACCAGCTTTGATAAAGAAGCGGCCACACTTTCTGCAGAACCCACCCATCATTTTTCAGGATAGTGCTCGACCACATGCAGCGCAAGCTGTGGCTGATTTGTTCAATCGATGGGGCTGGGTAGTGCTGTACCATCCACCATACTCCCCGGACTTAAGCCCTTGTAACTTCGACTTGATTCCTAAGATGAAGGAACCACTTCGTGGCATTCACTTCAGAACTGTTCCAGAGATTCTTCAGGCAGTAGACCACTCCATTTGAACTATCAACACAACACATGCTGCTAAAGGTATCCTATGACTTCCACATCGCTGGCAATGGGTTGTACACAATGCTGGTGACTACATTGAAGGACAGTAAAACTTGGAAACATGCATCTATTTTGTATCCATTATAAATAAATAGTTGCCACTATTAAAGTTCCAACCCTCGTATGTTTGTTACTGAATGTCATTCTCTCCTAGAACAGTATAAGAAGTGATAAAATTGTAGTGCAAGAGTGTAGACATGAAGGACATTTAGCAATGGAGCAGAGACATGGTTTGTGAAAGAGACATAAGGAAATGCTGTACATGCATGGTTGCAGTTGTTTGGGGCCTTGATGAAAAAGCATAGGAAATAACTGAAGATAACTTGTGCTTTGTAACTTACTGTTGTTTATACTTGACTTTATGTTATATTCATGTGAATCAAACATTCCTTGTTTTCTTTACAGGATGTTAATATAGATGAAGATTTACTGCTTGAAGATTGAAAGGATACCAGTGAACTGGACAGAATACTTAAGACTTCCACTCACATTTGAGATGTGAAAAACATATATTATGCATTTTTATTGTGTATGTAATATTTGTTAATATCAATGTGATGTTAAGATGAAGAACAACAAGCTGAGACATCTTGCTGGAGAAAAATAAGAGAGAGATATATATTTGTTGGAACCAACAAACCAGATACTACCTAAATATTTACCATACTCATATGTTTTATTTTTCTGTCATATAACAAAGCCTGCATTGTTTCTGTCTTCTCATAATGTGCCCTTTCTGTCCAGTTTTTCCATCTTGAATCTATGTCTTCTCCTATAAGCACATTTATTATTGTATGTTTCTTCAATATTTCCATATACCCTTTGTTCATTTTCCTGCACTTGGTCTTTGTGTTTGTGTTGGTACCACTGTAAAGGATAATCTGTGACAGTAACCGTTAGCTGTTTAATGTGTTTTAACCACAGAATTTTTATTGAGATATTAGGCACATGGCACCCAAGTAAGATAATAATTTCCTACATTTGGTCTACGGTTAAAATACTTTTAGGAATGAGGTTGAGTTTCATGTAAAGTGAGAATTATATTGGACCAATATGAATCAAAATTAAGGCATCCCCCACCAGTACCAAATTTGACTAAAATCTATTGAATTGTTTTAAATATAGGTGATGTCACAGTCCTTTTCCATGACTTTGCTTTTGTTCTGCTGTTTATGTTGTAAGTAATTACAACTGAGAATGTTGTAAATTGCGTCAAGTAAATTATTATTATTATTATTATTATTTATTTCATCCATAGCTGTAGATAATTACAATTGGACATGTCAAATATCAACAACTTCACATCAAAAATAACATAAGTAAAGAAAAACCTTCACATAGTGATTCATCGCTACAATACAGCAATACATCTCAAAAATACATCTTTAACTTAATTTAAGAATGTAAATACTCCAAAAAAAGACATAAGAATAAATATTTTAAACATATAGACAGATTTATTAACAAGCAGTCTACATCAACAATTAATAATAATAATAATAAATACTCCAAAAAGGCATAAAAATATACAGACAGATTTATCAACGAGCAGTCCATGTCAACAATTATTAAAAAATTCTTGAAGAAAATAGAAGACATTACACAACAAATAATTCTTAAGTTTCTTCTTAAAAACATTAAAATTTATTAGATTCTTTAATTCAGTTGAAAGGCCATTAAATATTTTGGTTCCCATACTAATCACCCCTCTCTTGCTACGTTCAGTATTACAAAATTGTACATACAAATTGTGTTTATGAATAGTGTTATAGCCATGAACATCACAATAAAATATAAATCTTATTTTTTATTATAAAACATAGGATCTGAAAAATATATATGGAAGTAACAGTTAAAATCTTTAATTCACGAAACAAATTTCTACAGGAAACTCTATTTTTAACACCTTTTATCACCCTTACACATTTTTTCTGCAGTTTAAATAAGAGTTTCAGAGTCCTTTTGCACACCACCCCAAAAAATAATTCCGTATTTCAACACAGACTCAAATTTTGCAAGATACACACTTCTTAAAACAGTTTGGCTCACTGAGTCCCATAGGCATTTTATCAAATAGGTAGTCTTGCTAAGTTTTGCCACACATATTGTGTGTGGGTTGCCCAACTTAAATCTTCAGTAATGCAAATACCCAAAAATTTTACGTCCACTGAACAAACCACCACATTATTTATGAAAAAATAACACCTTTGACATAGACATGTTTATTATTAAATGATTTTCATAAAACTATTTTTCTGATTGATTTACATTTTGAATTTTTTCATTTAATGATAAAATATTTTTTCCAGTAATCAATATATTTGTATCATCAGCAAATAGTATTACCTCTGCATTATGTATAACTCGGGGCAGATCATTTATAAATAATAGGAATAAAAGGGGTCCCAAAACTGAACCATGAGGTACACCCTATTTAATTGCTTTAAGCGATTAGGTAACTGTCTTCATTTTAGAAGTCTTTTGATCCATATAGTGAATTTCAACAGACTGTGATCCATCTGTAAGATACGATCCCATCGATGCACGAGATATTCCTCTCAGTCCATACGGTTCCAACTTTGCAAGCAGCAAGTTATGATTAATAACATCAAATCCTTTGATACATCTAGAAATATACCAAAGGCCAGTTGTTTATTATCTAGTGTTTTCTGAATTTCTCCAATAAAAGTTTGAATTGCCATAAACGTGGATTTATTTTTTCTGAAACCATTTTGGGCATTTCATATCAGATTGAATCTATTTAAGAAATTTACAACCCTATTGTACATCAATGTTTCAAGAATTTTTGAAAAAAAAGAACTAAATTGAGATTGGTCTGTAATTTGCAATATTTTGTTTCTGACCTTTCTTAAAATAGGTCGAACTTTTGCAATCTTCATTTGATTTGGAAAAATGCCAGAACTTAGTGGCAGATTAAATATAAAAGTCAAAGGTTTTTTTATGGTTTGGATACATTGTTTAACTATCAGATCCGGAATCTCATCATAACCTGCTGAAATTTTCGTTTTTAATTTACTAGTAACCTGAAGAACCTCTTCTTCAGTAACAGGGGCAAGAAATAATACATTTGGATTTTGTATCGCTTCATTTGTAATATCATGGTCAATTGTACAATTTTTATTTAAATGTATCAGCTTGTCTATGCTATTTTAGTGTCCATTTGTCTATAGCCGTCTAAATTGCAACACTTGTTTTACACTTCAATATATTCTTTAACACTTAACACTACATGTTTCGGCCTCAAAGGGCCATCTTCAGGTGTTTTATTACAGATATTCAATCAAGACCTTGTTAAAACTGCTACACTGTTTCGCTGTTCCAATTCACTTTAAAAACCACACGCTGCAGTCCTCCTTTATTTAAAACGAGATAAAATTCTTTTATAATTTGTTGTTTCACTTCACTCAGGGTGTCGTCACTTCCGTAAAATATATTAAAATGTTTTTCCCGGCAGCGTATTCCTCACATTAGTTATTTGCGCCTGGTTTTTATTTCCTCCTCAACGTCTGGTATCTACCAGTATTTGCGCCTGGTGCACTAGTACGTGGTGAAGGTGGTGAACGTGGTTAAGTTGGTGAAGTTGGTGAACGTGGGCGTGTGGTATGTGACTCACGTGTGGAAGGAAATACGGAACTGGACTTTGTGGTTAGGGCTCGTGAATGTAAGGATTTCTGTATATGTGAATAATAATGAGTAAAGTAAAAAATAAAGCAAAGAAGAAACGTCTGTCAGAGAGGGCAGTTAAAACCAATGTTCAAAAGAAAAAAATCTTGAATCCCTTCGAAGTTCATGTCAATCGTCAGAAATATGATGTTCTCGGACGGAAAACGAAAAATGGTACTGGTATCCCAGGAGTTGCTCGTGCGAAAGCTGTCGCCAAGGTAAATAAATCAATGACGCGCATATTAAGTTTCCCATCATTACTTAATGTGGTAATAGAAGATCATAGAATTGCATGAAATAGCTCATCTTTCTAAAGCGCATCGCGTCCACAACATTAGGTTATGTGGTTTTAGTCTGGGTGTTCAGTTTAATGTAAGTTAGAAATTCTGTTATTCTTCCTAAACAGTTTTTCTTTAGCCCACTGCATTCTAAACTGCTTGAAAAAAAAAAAGTAATATTTTTTATAGATGTTAAGAATTATGTCCCATGCCTTTTGGTTAAGGGTAATTGCATTTTCGATTAATAAATGTGACACAAATATTGTTCTATGCAATTAAGTAATTTTTTTATTACTTCGGGAGATACATGCCCCAAATTTTTGGTAACAAATTGTAAAATTGGGGGATTTTGCAAGGCACAGAACGACTTGTTACATGAATGAATGAATATATGTAGTGCAGTGGAGGTATTCCTGAGCCCTTGTTCTGCAGCTTTCAGATACCATTTTGATAATACATTATATGAGTGATGTAGGATCAGTACTAACTGAAGGAAATGTCTTTTTTGTTCAGAGGAAAAAAACACTACTACAAGAATACAGAGTAAAAGACAAGTCAAATAGGTTCCTGGATCGGAGAATAGGCGAAAAAAATAGTGCAATGACGACAGAAGACAAAATAATGGCTCGATTTACAGCTGAAAGAATGAAGATGCACAGTAAGGTAATAATATACATGTAATGAGGAATGTTTTTAATTTGTGGCATGTTGTACTTCATGTTTTTCATGAACAGAAAAATATAAGTTATTTGTTTGTATATTTTTATACATTAGTGTACTTATTTTCATGTCTGAATTATATTAATCTTTGGAATGGTGCAATTAGTCAGAAATATAGTGAGACTTGAGGGATCAAGAAGTTTTGTAGTAAAACAAGGTAAAGCTATCCCTGTAACAGGCTGTGAAGGCCCATAGGGTTGTGAGACGTCGAGGCTTCCACATTTTCTCTAGACAGATGGCTCACAGATGGCACTGAGGTTGTCAGCCATATGCACCGGCCACCCTTTACCCCCCAGGAAGATTCCCGGTACTCATTTCTGTTAGAGGCTGAGTTGACCCCAGGGCCATAGTGCAGCAGGAAGGATTAGGTGAAAGATCCTGCACATGTAGCACCATTTGTTTGTAATTTTAACAGTTTACAGTAATTTTATAGGATCCTTTTGGAAGGGATTTTTTAATAGGCAGTACTTTAATTAAATCTCTTATTTTAAATTACTTGTAGAAATCAATTTTTAATTTGGCTGATGATGAGATTTTGACACACCGTGGGCAAACCCTAAGTGAAATTGAGAAATTTGATGACCCCCGAAGTGATGACGAGGAGGAGGAGGAGGAAGAGAGAGGAAAGCTTGGTGGTAAGTGTTCAGATTATTATATTTCTCTAATTTTGTAATTATGTGAATTGTGTGTTGTATATGGATAATAAAGCACTGATGATGGCTAGAAGTAGATTTGGTTTTGGATGAGATTACCTGGGAAGAGTGAGAGAGGTGAATGAGTAGGGAATGTGAGAGTAGGTGTCATATTGAAGCAGGTGACTGCAAGGCCCACCATATGTTTCAGTGTGATGAGCAAGCAGAAGAAACACAGTTTTCCTTTCACTTTGTGAGAGGTATGACGAAGATTCCCTCAAAAGCTTGCACTTTAAGAACAAACTGGATCATTAAAATATACTTTCACTGGATTTTTGGACAGTTTTGATTATCTAAACCATCACATGTTGAGATTCTCAGCAAAAAAACATTCTTCTGTTTTACATTTTTATGGTATCTTATAAATTATGGAATGCTGCAGATGGTTAGCATGAAGTGTCAACAGATGGCAGGACAGGTTTCTTTACACTGATAATGGCGCATGCAAGGGAGAGGGACTGGTATAAAAAGGATGTGGAGTAGAGTTCTGATTACCCATTCACAGTTCATCCAGTTTCCTGCTTATCCATGTGTCTTTTTAGGCACATTCATAACTCTGCAGAGTGCATATTAAGTTCACAAAATTTTTGTGAATAATTGTTGACTCATGTCACTTTTCATTTAGATTGTACATTCTTCATGACCATTTCACATGAATGTCTTCATGCAGTTCTGCTTAAGTGTTTGAGGGTAACTTGCTAAATATTTTTCATAGCTAAAAATATTTTAAATAAAGTTGTAGAGAAAAATGAAGCACATTCTATGTGCTGTATATTTTTTTGAGGCACTTAAATGAATTGGACACTATATGCACATTTCCAAATTCCCGTATTGTGCAGTGTCTTGGTTTGTCTGTGTTTTGATTATTCATGCTTTTTTCTGCTACATTAGCATGGATAATTTAGAGTACACTATATCTCATTCATAATATGGAAAGAATTAAAATCCTTCCCTGTTTTTAAGCTACCATTTTAGCTCATATTTCATCTCTGTTCCTTTTGAATATTGTCATATGGGGACTGGGTCATCTGCTCTAACTGTGGTATACAATGACAGTGCATAATCTATATTCAAGAAATAATCACTTCAAGATATGTGCCTTATAACTTCCCGTTGTGATTTGGTTATGCAAAATGTTCATGATTATTTCTTTTATAGCTGAGTTTGTTGAAGACGCTCATTTTGGAGGAGGTATATTAAAGAAATCCAGTAGTGATGGTCATGCTAGCAGAAAAGATTTGATTGAACAATTAATTGCTGAGTCTAAAAAACGTAAGGCTGAAAAGCAGCGGGCTCGTGAACAAACAATTGAACTAACAGAAAAGCTGGATACAGAGTGGAAAGATCTGTTGCCAATTGTATCTTCTTCTAAGACATCTGCAAGTAATGTCGTTGATGATAACGAAAAGCCAGATTCCTATGACACAGTGATGAGACAACTGAAATTTGAAGCTCGAGGAAAGGTATGTTGTTGTACTAGTTAAGTTACACATAATCCAGTCATTGCTACCACATTTACATTGGAGTATCTTGGTGCTTACACCAGCCGGCCACTTTTCAGGGTCAGGTCTGTATGGGAAAACAGGGATAGGGCCACTTGAAGGCAGTGGTGATCGCCGGGCAAAGTATAATTTTGCGACCCCTCCATTTACTGTTTTTTTTTAAGAAAGAATTTATAGCAGTATAAAATGTATATGTGTTTACAAAAGGAAGGGCAGGAAAAGATTAAAAGCATATAACCGAAAAATTATTTTTCAGAACATGGTACTTAATATTGTATGCACATTAGAGAGCTTCTTAATTTGTTCTCCTCGCCAAATATTATCAGAATGACCAACGTAAGGAGGATGATAAGGAGAACTGAAGGATAATATTAAAATTCATCTTAAATAAATAGGATGGCAGGGTATGGACTGGAATTATCTCACTGAGAATAAGGCTCAATGTCAGGCTGTTGTGATCATGATAATGAATCATTAAGTTCCATAAAATGCTAGGAATTTTTCAGGTAGCTGAGCAGCTGTTTGGATCTCAGTAGGGTCTCTTCACCAATGAGTTTGTCACGTTTAATCTTAAATATACTGTTTCTATTGCAGCCATCTGATCGACTAAAATCGGAAGAGGAGTTAGCACAAGAAGAGAAGGAAAGGCTTGAAAAATTAGAAATGGAGCGGTTACAGAGAATGCATGGCTTCAAGGAAGACTTCGTACCTGAAAGGAAACACAGAAGTGCAGATGATTTGGATGATGGGTTATTATTATTATTTTTGTTGTTGTTCTTGTTGTTGTTGTTGTTTTGGAGAGGGTGGGTTTCCCCATGCACTGCGACTAGTTGTTAGTCTATTGTGCATCCCCCTTTAATTCTACCAGTCGCCATGCCCTTCCAGTACTGGTGCTTGCTATCAGCCCCGTTCTGCCAGTGAGGTCGGCCCTCTCTGGCAGTGGTCCCCGATACTTCCCCATCTGCCGGAGGAATTGGAAACTACTTGGGCAGGAAACTTTGCCTAATTTTGCTCAGAGGTCTCCTAGAGACATGAGGATGGATGATGGGTTTGTATACAGGGTGTCCCAGGAGGAATGTGCCAAACTTCGGGAGGGTGTTCCTTATGTTAAAGTATGCCGATATAACCCAAAACACCTATGTCCAAAGTTGAACGGTTACGGAGATAATGGCCAGAGAAGTGTGAAACTTTGACCGGTGTTACACACTTGTTGATTACAAAATACATATTAAAACTGGCAGGAATATGTGGTTTCTGTAATGTTAATAATGTACGTAACATCAAACTAACTTGTGAGTGACATGAAGCCATAAAATTGAAGTACAAAATACTCGCTCGCCATGTCATAATTGTCCTTAGGGTTTCCAAGCACTATACATGACACATGACTGGCAAGCGCTGACGTAACGTGGCTGACTGCGCGTTCTGATAAAGCCAACTACATAAGCACGGCTAGGGTGAATCACGGCACTCAAGGACAAACACAGATAAGGCGTCTCAGCTGACAGGTACAGTGCGTGGACCCGCCAGAAGACCACACTTTTCTCGGGCCATTATCTCCGTAACCGTTCAACTTTGGACATAGGTGTTTTGGGTTATATCGGCATACTTTAACATAAGGAACACCCTCCCGAAGTTTGGCACATTCCTCCTGGGACACCCTGTATAATGTTTTAACATCTGACTTGGTTTGAAACTGTTGTGGTCTCAGTTTTCATAGCCACTTAATTAAGATCTTGATATCAGCTTGTTTTTGTCTGCTGCTAATTCACTACACTGTCATCTTCCTGCATCTTACACTGCACTACTTGATTCACAGCACACTCTAAATCTTGCCTGGTTCTCTACACATCCATTGGACTCAGCTTCTAAGCTTACAATCAGACTGTTGAACTTACCAACAACTTTTTATATGTGAAGTCTTCAGGAGGCTGCTCATCATCTCCCAGTAGTCTTTCACAATGGGCTGTGTGGCTCATGAAATATCCAGAAGCCAATGGGAGAGAGTCAAGAAGTCTTGAGAACAACAAATGCACACATGCTAGCATAACGTGCTTAGTTCAGGCAACAGTATGAGAAAGTTTAGGTGTGTGATGGCTAGTATTTGTGTTCTGTTATGTTTTGTTTTGCAGTTTTGAAATAGAGAGTGAAGAGGAAGTTACAGTGAGTTACAGTGCAGGTGGGGAGCTGGATGTACGGTTGGAGACAAATATGAATCTCAAACTAGAACAGGAAGATCCTAAACGTAAGTATTCTTTAACAGTAACGAACAAACCCGCACTGAGTAGGTATGTATGACAGTGCCTCTCTAGGCTTGTGTTCAGGATGTATGTGATTTGAATCTGTACCTGGTAACCAGCTGTTCACACTTTGATTTTGTGAGCAACTTTTTTTCTGTCTGGCCAGATGAATGCTGGAAAAGTACACTGAATAGGCCCCAACTAATTCTTATAAAATACTTCCCACCATACAAACAAAACAAACTCCATGGCCTGTAGCCCGCAAGCGAACTATACCGACCAAGCTACCACCACTTGTCGGTGAAGTTAGTGCCAACTTTTGCGGATAGAGGGTGTCACGTCAGCGCAGCGGATCCCCACAGCCATTAATCTCAGTTTTCTAGACCAGAGCCGCTATTTCATTGAAATAGCTCTGTCATGAAACAACCTCTAGGAGTACTTTTGCAACATCACCTTATTACTCAACACCATAACTACAATTCCACATAACTATAACTCAAAATGTTGAACAAGTCGTTTCACAGTCGCTCCTTTTGTGTTAACAACTCTCACTAGACTGTAGAACTGCTCTGCTCTCCATGCTGGCTCACCACTGGCTTCTGTCAACACACCGCCCAGCTCAGTCCTCAGCTCTGCTTGTTATACTGTTGCCTGTTGCCCTAGCAATAGTAGCAGTGTCTGCTATTACGTCTCAGCGGGGAAGTGTTTACTTACCTGTTACCCTAGCAGCAGCAGTGTCCGCTCTTACGTCACAGTGGGGAAGTGTTGCCTAACACAGCTCCTCTGCTGTTGTGTCACTGTGGGGAAGTGTTTACTGGCCTGTTGCCCCTAGCAGCAGCAGCAGCAGTTCCTATGCTGTTACATCACCGTGGGGAAGGGTTTACTGGCAACGCATGCGTTATCACGTTGCTCTGAGTCCACAATTCCCAGCAAGCTCCTCAGTTATCCTCATAAGGCTGAGTGGACCCTGTTCCAGACCCACTACTCAGAAAATCTGGTAGTGCTGGAAAACGAACCCGGGACCTCTGGATCTGTAGGCAGGAACTCTGACCACTAGACCACAGAGGCGGTCTCAAGTACTTCCCACCATACTGTTCATAACCATCTTAGTGTCTCATTGGTTTGTGGCCTTGAAACAGTGTCAATAAATAACTATAGACTAAGCTGCTCTTCTAAGCAGCTGTCTGCTGGTGTTTCAGTTATGTTTTTCTAGGTTATGACACTATGTAGTCCAGAAGGTGGTTACCAGCATTTTAGGGCAACCTGCTGCCTTCATCTTCAGGTTGAGGTAACCACTTACCAGACTACACAGTGTCATAACCCAGAAACCACGCCCCAAATATTTGCTGCTCTCAAAAGCCTCAGATCTCTGTGGTGATAGAACTCGTATGAGTATGAGTAAGAGTATGAGGGGTGAGCCGTAAGCTGGCCCTAGCACTGCGACCTTCAATGGTCTATTGTGCTTCCCCTTTGGATTAACCCTTTAGTAATCCTACACTTCAAATGAAATGTAGGACTTTGTTTACAGGGGCATCATAAAAGTCACTCGGTTTCATGAAGAACTGACCCGGGTGGCAGTATCTTAGGTAAGCTGTAGCCTCACAATCACTGTTATGCCCCAAAGGTTATGTACAAGTAGATATGTTTACGGCAATATGGCCATCGTTATAGTGTATGTGTTATGAGATACCAGTAATACGCGGAGGACGCATATTTGTTGTTCATAGTTGTGGCAGTTGAAGTTGTGAGAAACATACTTAGGCTGTTAGTATGTTAAAGTTAGGAGTGGCATATTTTAAGGGTGAAACATTATGATAAGATAGTGTAGAATTATGTGATGAGTAGTATAGAATGGAGAGTGAAAAAAGGTTCACACTTGCATATTCTCATGAGCCGAAATAGGAGAAAGAGAGAGACAGACCACAGTCTTACAACCCAGGAGGGGAGATTATGATGAAATGATAGCCTGGCGACGTATAGAGATGATGTAGTTCCGGCTGAAAGTCAGCCTTGTTAATATTGTAAATAGGATACAAATTAAAGGTGAATAGACCAGTGTACCTAGGGTAGGACGGAGATGGTATCGAGTAATAGTAATGATACAGTGACAGTCTCGAGCCATCTGTTCTAAGCGAGAGATTAGAATGTAAATCAGAACTAGTAACGCAAAGATACTAGGTAGTCCCGACTGAAGGTCAGCATTGTTCATACTGTAAATAGGATTGTAAATAACAGTGTAAATAGACAAGGTACTTAGGGTAGGATGTACCCCGAGTATGATTCACCCTCACAAGCTCCACCCTTTCCCAGTCACAAGCGAAGGGCGGAACTGACCCAGGCGGCCAACTGCAGCCGGATGCAACCAGCAGTAAGAGTTATGAGAATCCGAGTTAAGGGTGAGAGACTAATAGGAAACAGAGAGATAGCGTCCCAAGAGAGAATCCGAGTTAAGGGTGAGAGACTAATAGGAGACAGAGAGATAGCATCCCGAGAGGGAACAAGGGAAGAGTAATTTAGAGATTTCATTATCCTCTCTAGGCATAACAAAGTGATGGCAGAGGTTGGGATCGGCCAACGCAAGGTGGCTGACATAGAGAAAGAGTAACTGTGTTTTACTCACCCCTTACATCGAAGTATTACTTATGGCAACGGCGGTGGGCCGAGTCAACGAAGGGTTGACTGACGTAGCGAAGGGACTAGCCAAAGAGAAACAGCAGACAAAGTGATGGCAGCAGTGTATGGACTAGCCCAAGAGAGAGNGGTTTGTTATGCCCCAAAGTTTATGTACAAGTAGATATGTTTTTTGGGTAATTTGGAATAAGTATATCTAGACTTTATGATTAAGAAACAGCAATAACGAAATGTACCAGTAGTGAGGCAATCGTTTTGTAATCAGAATGTAGCANTATAGTACAGCGGTGGGCCCAGTCAACGAAGGGTTGACTGACGTAGCGAAGGGACTAGCCAAAGAGAAATGGCAGACAAAGTGATTTAGTGTTTAACCCACCCCCGTCACTAAGACATAATAATTGGTGACAGTGGTGAGATATCAAATCCATCCCTGTCGTAGAGGTGTAATATAGGGTGTGACAGTCGATGGGTAGAGGCGGGTCAGCCCCGACACGCCCGCTCTATGCCAGTACGAAGAGGTGACAGTGATGAAGGGGCCAGCCCACAGAGAACGCTCGACTACCGCGCTACCGGCCCTTAGTACTTTCATCACCCCTTTTTAAAATGTAATAGATGGTGGCAGCTGTATGCAACGAAGAAGGTCCAGAACCAGGAGAGTCCTAGCTGAGGGTAATCTAGTATTATTGTATTAACCCCTTACAGCATAACATATGGTGGCAGTGGAGGGCTACCTCCACGCCCCCTGCCACCACGGCAGAACAATCACATNTCGACATGGGTCTTACAAGTGGTGGTGTCTAGCCTGCGTCTCTATTTCAAGTAAGTCTCTTTGCTCATATAAGCCATGTNAGGCACCTCTCACAAGTTGGGTCCTGTGTCAGTCCCAGTTTGGAAAAGTGTCCTTTTAGGTGGCAGTGTCCCATAAGTAATCCTACCACCCATCTGAGTTGATCTCTGTTTAATTTTAACAGGTCCATCTTTCTTTTGGCAGAGGCTCCTGATATAAATCCTTCTGCCTGTTTGAGTCCAGTTATGGAACTGTATACAGGGCTGTTTGTAAGACCTCTGATACAGTGTGCGGGAATTTCCCATTAATTAGGATTGCTATATCATCAGCATATCCTAATGTAAAGTTGTCTGTACTGTTGAGCTCCCAGAGAAGATCCTCCACAACAAGGCTCCACAGGAGAGGGGAAAGAATGATAGAACTCTTAGGTTAAGGTGTGTTAATGGTGAGAAAGTGCCATTTGACGTGTTTGTACTATTGTCCCACCACCTCTTTTGTCTTCTAAGTAGTTTGAAAATGGTTTTGGACTACAGTTCTTGTATACATTTCACACATCATTATGTCCATAATTTCACTAATTCTCCTCTGGCCTGAAATCCTATATGTGTCTTTGTCTCCTCCATAGTTTCATAACAGTAAATTGTTCTGGAACCTGGAAGACCAGGGACTGCACTTTTTGTGGCCTATACCCTTTGACCTGTCTTGCATGGGTGCCTCTATGAGGAGCTTACACTCCCACCAGCATAATTCTCCAGGTCATTGGTGCAGGCAGACCTCTCCATAATAAGGCAATAGTCCTCGAGGAGGCCAAGATTTCAATACCCAGACAATATTAGGTGACCCAAATAAGTCGCAAAACTTCTTGTTATATAGTGTTCTAAATTTCCCACTGGTTTCATCCATGTTTACTTAAAATATTTCCCAGTTTATGTTAGTTCATCACAATTACAGCTATAGTCATCTGGCTTAGAAATGCAGATGAGGTACTGGTAGACACAGTAATCTTAGCAGCGAATACAGTCTTCTGAGATGTGACACCATGTAGTATGATTCAGAGGAACCTGGTGCTTCCATCATCAGGGTAGATAATGATGGAGACAGTAGGTACCTCCAAATGTTAGTACCTGTGTACCAGACTACGTGGAGTCATGTCCCAGATGAATATAATCTTAACAGTAATATGTGATTTAAAGAATTGCTGTGTTTATTTTGTGTTTGTTTAATTTTGACCGCAGAAAATGAAGAACAAAAGGACCCTGCTGAAGCATCAGAAGAATCTGAGAAATCTGATGATGATGATAGTGAAGATGAAGATAACATTGATGATTTATCTGACTTGAAGAATGTTTCCCACAGTGATGATGATGGAACAGAGAATGAAGGTTAGTATTGTATATGGGCTGTCCAGTTATTGCTTTATTTAGACACATAATTGCCATACTTAGCTAACAGTAAAATGCTCCCCCCCCACATTCACAGTGAATCATCATATGGAAGGAATATTGTATCACCTATTCCTTAATCACTACACATTGGCCTCATAAATACTGTATTTCCTGGATACCATGTAGTTATTACTGTTGTCACCATAATTGTTAATTGTGAATTTAAAATTTACATTACACATTTTCATAAGAATCGAGAACCGTTGCTCTTACTTCCAGGTGATCTCCCATTATTTCAGTCGCATAATTTATTGAAGTTTTGTTCAGTGGATACAGTTACTGTGAACACATATAAAACATATCTTGTGGAGTGAGTAAAATCAGTTACAAGTAAATGTTCAGTATTGTACAGCATCTGAAATATCCTTGAGGGCACATCATCATCTTATAGTGATGTAGTTCATGTCATCATTAGAATGTTACTGGATCATATTTTTGCCATAATTTGGGAACAGAATTTATCATGCCAAAGATCTTTCTGTGAGGTTGCCTGCTGAAGTTATGAAGTACCCTCAGAGATGTTTTCGACAGAATCTAGCACTGTGTACCATACTGTAAGTCAGTTATATAGCAATCTCCATACAAGATCACTGTGCATCCATAGTCAAGATAATGCATGAACCATGACACACCTCAAAATTCAAGAATGTATATATATATATATGTGTGTGTGTGTGTGTGTGTGTNNNGTATATATATATATATATATATATATATATGTACTGGTGTGAGAATATTTCTTCTTCAGGTGTCATTCTTTTGGTTGAGCAGTAGCATACTTGAATATATGGATTCACACCTGATGGTATGTTGTGTCATTACAAAATGTACCTCAAAAGAAGACTTCTGGCCCCAAAAATGTAATGCATGCAAATATGGCAGTAATAGTAATGAAAACATAACAATTACTGCTTCTAGAAGATTTTCATATTGTTACACACTCTGCAGACACACAGCTTGAAGATATTCTTCTTGTGAATAGTTGAACTGTGTTTATTTTCACACATATTTTTCATTTGTGAATATTAGATGTCCTTTTTTTTTTTAATGAAAATAAATTA